CTTGGCGATCGAATTCTTTGGGACCTTCATGAGGACAGGGATGTCTACAACGAGATGTGGCAGATCCCAGTGGTCCCTATGCCTAAGGAGAGGCAAGTGGCAGCAAGCATCAGCACCAAGGATGGAGCGGTCGGTAGCGACGATGGCGCGAACGGTCGCGCTAAGGAGAATGAGCTCAAGAAAAGCAAACCTGGAGGGACCAGCAAGTTCAGTGAACCTAAGGAGAGTGGTGCAGCAACCAAGGAGCAGCAAAAGGGTGAGGAGAACCCAGAGGCAGCAGCGGAGGAGGACTACGGAGAGAGTATGTGGGGCGCTATTGCGAGCGCGGCATTCTCCAATCCAACTTCGGCTACGGGGGAGTGTGATTGGCTCACCTTGCATCGGCGCATGGGGCATGTGGCCCTGCCCATCTTGCAGCAGCTAGTGAAGAATGAGATGGTTGCTGGCATACGTGTGAAGGGGGAGCCCGATGAGGTGCTTGGCTGCCCGACGTGCATTCAAGCCAAGTTCACCCGGTTTCCGTTCCCTAGTTCGGAGGCAACGGCAAAGGCACCGCTTGATGAGGTGGTGATGGACGTGGTGGGCCCCCTGAAGCTTGGAGCTGCTGGAGCTGAGTATTTTCTCACCATTGTCGACGTCTACACCCGCATGACTTGGGTGTACGTGCTGGCCAAGAAGAGCGACGTGGCTGAAACGTTGAAGACGGATTGGTTCCCGATGGTGGAGCGGCAACAAGACCGTCTAGTCAAGTCAATCCGCACCGATCGAGGGGGAGAGTTCTTGAGCAAGGAGTTTGGGTTGTGGCTGAAGAAGAATGGTATTCGGCACTCCCTCACCATGCCATACTCCCCTGCAATGAACGGCATCGCCGAGCGAGCGAACCGCACAATCACGGAGGCGGCACGCGGGTTGCTCATTGAAGCCGGGCTACCCGACTATTTCTGGCCTGATGCGGTGCGGAGCGCGTGTGTGGGCGTGTGGGCCATCCAAGGGTATGTTGTTTGACAGCAGGGATGTGAAGTTTGTTGAGGGCATGATGTATGGGAGCTGGGAGAAACAGCCGGAGGCCAGGGTGTCCCAGCAAATGAAGCAGATCACCATGCAGCTGGACCTGACTCCTAGTGTGTGGGAGGAGGGAGAGCAGGTAGCTGCAGAGGGTGGTGATGGAGAGAAGGTACAGGAGGCATCTGCTGGTGGAGAAAATGATGTGGAGACTAGCACTAGTGGAGCTGCTGGATCCGAGGGAGGAGAGCAGCAGCAGGGGAAAACTAAGAAGCTGAAGGGTGTTGTTATGAAGGGATGGGAGACACCCGTCTCCAGGCCAGGACGTACCCGTATGGCTACTAAGAAGTTGACTGCAGGAGCTGATGTAGCAGAGCAGCAGCTTGGGACAGAGGAGGCATTGCTGATTCTACCTCATGGCTATGACCCGGATGAGGAGGATGAACCTGTCTACTGTTTTCTTGCCCCTGCACCAGAGGAACCAGCTAGCATGGAGGAGGCACTAGCTGGACCAGATAGGGAGAAGTGGCTGGTTTCTAGGGATGCTGAGTACCAGAGCCTACTAGAGAATGGGACATGGGATCTGGTGGTGCTGCCCGATGGGAAGAAAGCTGTACAGTGCAAGTGGGTGCTAAGGATCAAGACCGATGACAAGGGACGGGTCACCATCTACAAGAGTAGGCTGGTGGCTAAGGGGTTTATGCAGAAGGAGAAGCGGGACTTCAATGAGATTTTTGCTCCCACTGCCAAACCCCCTACCCTTCGTGTCTTGTTGGCAGATGCAACCGTTAGTGGGAAATTTATCATTCAGATGGATATATCAACGACATTCCTCAATGGGATTTTAGAGGAGGATGTGTACATAACGCAGCCGCCTGGGGTGTGACGTGGCAAGTAGGGCGGGTTGTTGGCGGATGCAAAAGGGTGTGACGTGGCAGAATGTGAGGGTTGGGGCTGACGTGGCGGTTTGGAATGGTACACGGGAGCGGCGCGTGACGAGGCGACGCGTGTCAGGTGGGTGGGGGGTGACGTGGCATGGGGTGGGAGGGTGTGACGTGGCACGTGGGGCTGGTTGGTGGACGTGGCGGATGCAGGAGGGTGTGACGTGGCGGAAGGTGAGGGTGGGGGATGACGTGACAGATGCAGGTGGGTGTGACGTGGCGGAAGGTGAGGGTTGGGGATGACATGGCACCCTAAAAGGGTACACGTGAGCGGCGCATGACGAAGCGAGGCGTCTCAGGTGGGTGGGGGGTGACGTGGCTCTTGGTGGGGGGTGTGACGTGGCAAGTAGGGCGGGTTGTTGGCGGATGCAAAAGGGTGTGACGTGGCAGAATGTGAGGGTTGGGGCTGACGTGGCGGTTTGGAATGGTACACGGGAGCGGCGTGTGACGAGGCGACGCTTGTCAGGTGGGTGGGGGGTGACGTGGCAAGTTCAAACAGTGTTGCTAGTCACCATCCCATGGTCACGCGGCCACCCTCATAACTGCTGGTTTCTCTCTTCCATGTCGTGTTGTATACCTTACACCCCTGCGCAGAACAAAGCCTACTTAGTGTGCTCTCAGCTCATGTTTCTGAACCCGCCGGAGAAAATACAGTACTACCCTGCACCGGAGGAAGTGTTCGAAGCGTTCTCTGTCCACTTGTCTGCAGAAGGGCTCGAGGCAATGAAGCTGCTGTGGTTGCACAATGACAAGTCAACCATGGGAGTCTTCAACCACCAGCTGTCCTCAACAAGGTCAACTATCAACTCCACCCTCAGGCCAGCAGCATACACCGGCATGGGCCTTGCCGATTACAGCCATCTCGTAACCACAGGATGGGGACAGTGTGGCACTGTTCCACATCCTACTCGGTTTGGCGATTTCTCAGCCCGTCAGGATGGTCAACAGTCGCAAGAGTCAACTGTCGCGACTGTTAGAATCCACAATGTCACTAGAGTAGCGGAAATACTCTAGGAAGATAACGACGTCCCTGCGGCGGGGCAATTGGTCACTCAGATGTAGCACTTCTGGCCTAGCACATGGTGCCACTGCGGCGGCCGAGGGAAAGCCGGACACAAGGATTCAAATTGTGTAATAAGAACAATGCAATACATTCAGTTATATAGGAAACATAGCAGGCAGACAGTTACCAAGGCGCAATTGTATTACAGTTGCGTTGTAACGCTTCAGTTGCCCTGTTACTGTCGCGCTGGCGCGACTGTTCAGCTTCGGCAAGGGCGCGGTATTCTGCCGCGCCCTGCAGGGTGGTTTCGTGTACTGTGCATGCTGCCCAACTGCCCAATTCGACGCTTCAGCTGCCACAAGGGCGCGACCACTGTACGCGGTCGCGCCTTACAGCTCGAGTCTTGGGTCTGAAACACTCGATATGGAGAGCTTCGCTTTTGCACTTCGAACAGTGCAGTACAATGAAATATTACGTAAAAACATATTCGCAACACTCCCCTCCACTGTTAGAAGTGTAGAAACGAGGAGAGATGAAGTTATGCCGTGTTGAAACTGTGAAGTCCTTGCCAGGGAATTTGCCGGAACGCCTTGAAAGGCGCCTTGCCGAGTCGCTCGAAATGTTGCGTCGGCACGTTGAAGTATTGAAGATTTCCTCCACGTAATGCTCCGTGGGAAGTGGCAGGTGTGAACCTGCTCCATGAGATGCTCCTGGTGATAGTTCAGAGGGTGGGCCTATTGGAAAAAATTACCACAGGTTCCAAGGGTTGGAACTCTTGCTCGTGACACCATGTTAGAATCCACAAAATCACTAGAGTAGCGGAAATACTCTAGGAAGATAACGACGTCCCTGCGGCGGAGCAATTGGTCACTCAGAGGTAGCACTTCTGGCCTGGCACATGGTGCCACTGCGGCGGCCGAGGGAAAGCCGGACACAAGGATTCAAATTTTGTAATAAGAACAATGCAATACATTCATTTATATAGGAAACATAGCAGGCAGACAGTTACCAAGGCGCAATTGTATTACAGTTGCGCTGTAACGCTTCAGTTGCTCTGTTACTGTCGCGCTGGCGCGACTGTTCAGCTTCGGCAAGGGCGCGGTATTCTGCCGCGCCCTGCAGGGCGGTTTCGTGTACTGTGCATGCTGCTCCACTGCCCAATTCGACGCTTCAGCTGCCACGAGGGTCGCGATCACTGTACGCGGTCGCGCCCTGCAGCTCGAGTCTTGGGTCTGAGACACTCGATATGGAGAGCTTCGCTTCTGCACTTCGAACAGTGCAGTACAACGAAATAATACGTAAAAACATATTCGCAACAGCGACTGTTGACCATCTGGACCGACGATTGACTTACCATCGAGGAAAGGCAACAAGCGTAACCGTACGTACCGGTTACATGCAGCGACTCGGTAACAAGAAAAGAAGTGCAATAGTCAGAGTCACTGTAGAAATGTCTGTAAAACAGTTAGAATATGGGTATGTACCCCTCATAGTACATGGCTAGATAGAACTATTTATTATGTGAGTAATCCTTGTTTTAATCAACTTTGTCATCCACATTCACTATGATCAGAGTTCCTACAACAAAAACTTCCGCTACCAAACCCTTCTAAGGCATTTCTAATCTATCCAAGATCCTTCACTCTAACAATATGCACAGGAAATTTTATCCTGGTTCTATGGAAAAATCCTTTGCCAACAAAAGAGCAATTTTATATAGTGCGAGTGCTTTTATTGAGCGCTCAGCCTACTAATAATGCCTTTTCAACCAGTCTACTAAGTGATGTAATCATTTTAGACCCCTTTTTTCTCTTACATCCATAGAGTAATGCAGGTCAATTAGTCGCTAATATCAAATAAGCCTAGAGAGACAATGGAGGCTCAGCCTGTTATTTACAGACCTGACTATGAGTAAAGTGGATTGTACTTTAGCGGAGCGTCCAGCGGAGCATCACGAGTTTCGTCAGCCTTGGGATAATCGTCTCATACCCCTACCCCTTCGACTTTAGGCACAGGACGCGGAAAGAAGTGCCTTTCGTCATTGGCCTCGCGCCATGGCGGCCCGGCGAATCCCCGCTACCGTCGCCGCACTTGCCGCCGCAACTGCCGCTGGATTCGCGTCCGCGATCGCCGTTCTCGTCCTCTCGCGGCCGCTCCACTCGCTTCCCGCCATCCTCCATGCCTTCCTCCTCCGCATCCTGCTCCGCATAACACGCACCTTCCTCCCTAACTGCGCTGGCTCCAGATTACTCCATAGCACGCGATCCGTCCTCTCGTCGTCTGTCGAGGCGCCTCCAGTCTCGTCGCTCCACTCATCATCCAATCAGAATGCACCGGCCGCGTCTCAATGCCGCCTCAATATGGATGGCTGCGATTCTCTCCTCGGCGTCGCTCCCTCCGATATTGACGGCTTCAAAGCGGCTCCAGCAGCAGACGCGACTTGCTGTGCGACTGGCTGTGCGACCCCTACGACCGGCCGTGCGACCCCTGCGACTGGCATAGAGCCCACGTCGCACAATCGCGACGGGCCAAGAGCTGCGATCGGCCGCCGTGAAATCCACGAAGCTTCGCAGAAATGCCGCGACGAGCGCGATGGGCGCGAAGGGCTGGTGGCGGCGATCGGCAACACGCCGCTGATCCGCATCGCGAGTCTGTCCGCCGCGACTGGCTGCGAGATCTACGGCAAGGCGGAGTTCGTCAACCCGGGCGGGAGCGTCAAAGACCGCGTGGCGCTACGGATCGTGCAGGAGGTAACCATTCCGCACGATGTAGAACGCGCCGCGGTCCCTAGTAAAGCTGGCGATCGCTGCACTGCACTCGTCACGTGGCAAGCCAGGCTGGCAGCACTCTCGCTTTTGCCCTCCTGCCACGTGACGTGAGTGACGAGTGCAGTGCAGGAAAGCACGTGACGCTTGGCGCACCTGCGCACCTGCTTCACCTGCTGCCACGAGTGCAGTGCAGGAAAGCAGGTGACGTGACGCTTGGCGCAAGGGGTGACTCCACTCCACCTTTTTCCTGTCTTTTCCTCTTTTCCCCTTTTTTTCCTCCCCATTCACTCGCCAGGCTCTCGAGTCCGGGCAGTTGAAACCCGGAGGGCTGATAACGGAGGGCAGTGCGGGCAGCACAGGTGTCGCGCTCGCATTGGTCGCCGCGGCGTTTGGCTGCCGCTGCTTCGTGGCGATGCCGGACGATGCTGCCGTGGAGAAGGCCGAGGCAATGCGAGCACTGGGCGCCGAGGTGAGTGCTTTGTTCTTACGAATTGAAGTTTAGGGGGGTGGGGTGGGTTCGGGGTTTGGGTCGGGGTATGGGTATGGAGTTTAGCCTGGGCGGTGCTGCAATGCACGTTTGTGAACGCTGCAAAGCAGAGAGCTGCTGAGGAGGTAGACCCACTCACCCCATTGGAGACTCAAAGTTCCCCGGATCTCTCCTCCCCCCCTCCCTCCCAGGTGCTGCGTGTGCGCCCTGTGTCCATCACCCACCCCATGCACTTTGTTAACGTTGCGAAGCGACGAGCTGAGGAGGAGAGGGAGGGAGGAGAGGCAAGGAGGAGAGCGGAGGAGGAGGAGAGGGGGGTGGGACGAGGAGGGGAAGGGGAGATGAATAAACGGCAAGGGGTGGCAGTGGGAGAAGAGGATGCGGCAGAGTGGGGAGGAGGCGAGGAGGGGGGCTTGAAGAGGGGCGGGACGACAAGAGGAGAGAAACTGACGAGTGAGAGCAGTTGTAGGTATTCCTGCTGCTGCCTTCCTTTCCCCCGCCCCGCACACACCTACACACACCTACACACACCTACACACACCTACAGATACCTACAGATGCCTACGAACCCTCTCCTGCTTGTCTTGTCTACTTGTTGCAATGTCCATCACTCAGTCGAAGCAACAAGTAGACTTGTTCGCCCTCCTCCCCTTTCTCGCTTCCCTTCTTCCCCCTCTCCTTCAACCCGTCAGCAGCCCCAGAGGCGCCAGTGACGCTGCCAGCAGCAGTGGCAGCGGTATCAGCAGCAGTAACGGCAGTGGCAGCGGCAGTGGCAGCTATAACAGCAGCAGTGGCAGCGGCAGAGACACTGACAGCACATGCTGCGATGGCAGCATGGGCAGAACTGCCGCCAACATTTGCTCCCGTAGCTGCAGCACCAGCATCAATGCCAGCTGCTGCTTGGATTCAACTCCTGCCTGCACAGCGGATCGCAGCAGCGGCTCCTCTGTTGGCCGGTTTGACTCCGTGGCCAATCCTGCTGTGCCATGTGGCACCACCAGCAGCAGCAGCGGCGGCGGCAGCGGCAGTGGTTTCTTTGCGGACCAGTTTGAGAATCTGGCCAACTACCGGGCGCACTACTGCGGCACGGGGCCTGAGATCTGGAGGCAGGCGGGCGGTGCAGTGGACGCGTTTGTTGCCGCTGCTGGCACTGGGGGCACCATCGCTGGCATCTCATGCTACTTGAAGGTGAGCGGTTGTGAGCGGTTGCGAGTGGTTGTGAGTGACTGTGAGCTGGGAGGGGAGTGGCTGAATCTGGCCAACTACCGAGCGCACTATTGTGGCACAGGCCCAGAGATCTGGAGGCAGACGGGCGGTGCAGTGGGCGCGTTTGTGGCCGTCGCTGGCACTGGCACTGGGGCCACCATCGCTGGGGTGGGGTGTCGTGCTTCCTCAAGGTAAGCTGGGGTGTCGTATTATGGAGGCGTGTATTTTGTGATCTTTGGTGGACTGGCGGTGGGGCGGCAGTGGAAGTTTTTGTGGTCGCTGCTGGCACTGGGGCCACCATCGCTGGGGTGGGGTGTTGTGCTTCCCCAAGGTGAGTGAGTGAGGTGGACTGAAGGTTGGCTGGATAGTGAGTGGAATGACTGTGTGAGTGGCTGTGAGTGTGAGTGGTTTTGAGTGGTTGTAAGTGACAGTGAGTGCCACAACCTTTCTCTTGTCACGTTTCCTTCATGCCCATGCTGCAGGACCAAAATCCATCAGTGAAGGTCTTTCTGATAGATCCTCCCTCCTGGGTCGAGTCTCTTCCACAAAATCACACGCGGAGTGCTGTACACTCGGCAGGAGGCGGAGGGGAGGCGAGGTGACTGCGCAGCCCCTAGTTTTGGGGCGCCTCCAAACTACACCTGGTTTTGAGGCGGAGGGGAGGCGAGGTGACTGCGCAGCAGCCCCTTTGACCCGACGTTCCCTTTCGTACTCCCGTGCTTATCCCACTGCAGGACCAAAATCCATCAGTTGAGGTATTTCTGATCAACCCTCCTGGTTCGAGTCTCTTTCTCAAGGTCACTCGCGGAGTGCTGTACCCTCGGCAGGAGGCGGAGGGGAGGCGCCTGCGCAACCCATTTGACACGGCTTTCCCTCTCATGCTTCCTTTCCTGTCCTTTACCTTAAACCCGAAACCCTAAACACGAAACCCTAAACCCGAAACCCTAAACCCGAAACCCTAAACCCGAAACCCTAAACCCGAAACCCTAAACCCGAAACCCTAAACCCGAAACCCTAAACCCGAAACCCTAAACCCGAAACCCTAAACCCGAAACCCTAAACCCGAAATCCTAAACCCGAAACCCTAAACCCGAAACCCTAAACCCGAAACCCTAAACCCGAAACCCTAAACCCGAAACCCTAAACCCGAAACCCTAAACCCGAAACCCTAAACCCGAAACCCTAAACCCGAAACCCTAAACCCGAAACCCTAAACCCGAAACCCTAAACCCGAAACCCTAAACCCGAAACCCTAAACCCGAAATCCTAAACCCGAAACCCTAAACCCGAAACCCTAAACCCGAAACCCTAAACCCGAAACCCTAAACCCGAAACCCTAAACCCGAAACCCTAAACCCGAAACCCTAAACCCGAAACCCTAAACCCGAAACCCTAAACCCGAAACCCTAAACCCGAAACCCTAAACCCGAAACCCTAAACCCGAAACCCTAAACCCGAAACCCTAAACCCGAAACCCTGAACCCGAAACCCTGAACCCGAAACCCTGAACCCGAAACCCTGAACCCGAAACCCTGAACCCGAAACCCTGAACCCGAAACCCTGAACCCGAAACCCTGAACCCGAAACCCTGAACCCGAAACCCTGAACCCGAAACCCTGAACCCGAAACCCTGAACCCGAAACCCTGAACCCGAAACCCTGAACCCGAAACCCTGAACCCGAAACCCTGAACCCGAAACCCTAAACCCGAAACCCTAAACCCGAAACCCTAAACCCGAAACCCGAAACCCGAAACCCTAAACCCGAAACCCTAAACCCGAAACCCTAAACCCCCACTGCAGGACCAGAATCCATCAGTCAAGGTCTTTTTGATCGACCCTCCCGGGTCGAGTCTCTTTCACAAGGTCACGCGCGGAGTGCTGTACACTCGGCAGGAGGCGGAGGGGAGGCGCCTGCGCAACCCCTTCGATACAATCACAGAGGGCATCGGCATCAACCGGCTGACGGCTAACTTCAACGCTGCGAGGATCGATGGCTCTAAACCCGAAACCCTAAACCCGAAACCCTAAACCCGAAACCCTAAACCCGAAACCCTAAACCCGAAACCCTAAACCCGAAACCCTAAACCCGAAACCCTAAACCCGAAACCCTAAACCCGAAACCCTAAACCCGAAACCCTAAACCCGAAACCCTAAACCCGAAACCCTAAACCCGAAACCCTAAACCCGAAACCCTAAACCCGAAACCCTAAACCCGAAACCCTAAACCCGAAACCCTAAACCCGAAACCCTGAACCCGAAACCCTGAACCCGAAACCCTGAACCCGAAACCCGGAACCCTGAACCCGAAACCCTGAACCCGAAACCCTGAACCCGAAACCCTGAACCCGAAACCCTGAACCCGAAACCCTGAACCCGAAACCCTGAACCCGAAACCCTGAACCCGAAACCCTGAACCCGAAACCCTGAACCCGAAACCCTGAACCCGAAACCCTGAACCCGAAACCCTGAACCCGAAACCCTGAACCCGAAACCCTGAACCCGAAACCCTGAACCCGAAACCCTGAACCCGAAACCCTAAACCCGAAACCCTAAACCCGAAACCCTAAACCCGAAACCCTAAACCCGAAACCCTAAACCCGAAACCCTAAACCCGAAACCCTAAACCCGAAACCCTAAACCCGAAACCCTAAACCCGAAACCCTAAACCCGAAACCCTAAACCCGAAACCCTAAACCCGAAACCCTAAACCCGAAACCCTAAACCCGAAACCCTAAACCCGAAACCCTAAACCCGAAACCCTAAACCCGAAACCCTAAACCCGAAGCCCTAAACCCGAAGCCCTAAACCCGAAGCCCTAAACCCGAAGCCCTAAACCCGAAACCCTAAACCCGAAACCCTAAACCCGAAACCCTAAACCCGAAACCCTAAACCCGAAACCCTAAACCCGAAACCCTAAACCCGAAACCCTAAACCCGAAACCCTAAACCCGAAACCCTAAACCCGAAACCCTAAACCCGAAACCCTAAACCCGAAACCCTAAACCCGAAACCCTAAACCCGAAACCCTAAACCCGAAACCCTAAACCCGAAACCCTAAACCCGAAACCCTAAACCCGAAACCCTTAACCCGAAACCCTAAACCCGAAACCTTAAACCCGAAACCCTAAACCCGAAACCCTAAACCCGAAACCCTAAACCCGAAACCCTAAACCCGAAACCCTAAACCCGAAACCCTAAACCCGAAACCCTAAACCCCCACTGCAGGACCAGAATCCATCAGTCAAGGTCTTTTTGATCGACCCTCCCGGGTCGAGTCTCTTTCACAAGGTCACGCGCGGAGTGCTGTACACTCGGCAGGAGGCGGAGGGGAGGCGCCTGCGCAACCCCTTCGATACAATCACAGAGGGCATCGGCATCAACCGGCTGACGGCTAACTTCAACGCTGCGAGGATCGATGGCGCTTTCAGAGGGACGGATAGGGAGGCCGTTGAGATGGCGCGGTGAGTGCGAGTTTTGGGGGCGTGTGGGGGGGTTACGGATGAGGGGAGATGGGGGTGAAGCGGAGGGCGGGAGGAGAGGTTATGAGAGAGACGGATTGTGGGTGTGTGCATGCGTGTGTCTGGCCGTGCAACCCGTGTGACACGATCACAGAGGGCATCGGCATCAACCGGCTGACGGCTACCTTCAACGCTGCAAAGATCGATGGCGCTTTCAGAGGGACGGATAGAGAGGCCGTTGAGATGGCGCGGTGAGTGTGTGTGAGTGGGAGTGTGCATGAATGCGTGCATGAGTGAGTGATTGAATGAGGAAGGGGGGGGGGGTGGATGTGCGTGTGGGAGTATTTGTTGAGTCAGTAGAAATCACCGTACTGTCAGGGACGGATAGAGAGGATGTTGGGCGTCGCGGTGAGTGTGTGTGTTTAACCCCTACTCTCTCCCTTCTCCCCTCGCCACTCCCCTCTCATCCGTTTCAGCCTCACTACCAGTCAGGCAACCACCTCACCCTGTTTTCCCCAGCTGTCTGCTTCGCAGCGACTCTGCGACGGGCTCTTCATCAGCTCCTCCTCTGGCATGAACTGTGTTGGCGCCGTGTGGGTTTTCGGGGAAATCCCACTATGAAACGCACTTTCCTGCGCCCCAGCCCCCCACACCTCCCCCTTCCCCACCCCCCTGCCCCCTCTCCCTCCGTTTCCTCAGCTATTTGCTTCACAACGGTCATCGAATTCTCTTCAGCCATGAAGTGTGTTTGCTTGGCGCCGTGCGCGAGGCAGAGAAGCTCTCTCTCTCAATCACACCCCCCTGCGTCCACCCCCCTTTGCCCCAGCTACCTCTTGCGCAGCCACGGGCTCTTGATCGGGACCTACTCTGCCATCAACTGTGTGGGCGCCGTGCGCGTGGCAAAGAGGCTCTATCCCAATCACACCCTCCTACGTCCCCTCACCCCTCCCCCTCAGCTATCTGCTGCGCAGCAACGGGCTCTTCATCGCGTCCTCCTCAGCCATGATGTGTGGGCGCCATGAGGGTGGCAGAGAGGCGCTCTCTCAGTCACACCCCCCTGCAACCTCCCCTCCTCCTGTGTCCCCTCAGGTACCTTCTGCGCAACGAAGGGCTTTTCGTTGGTTCCTCCTCGGCAATGAACTGTGTGGGCGCTGTGCGAGTGGCAGAAAAGCTGGGTCCCGGGCACACCATTGTGACCATGCTGTGTGACAGTGGCTTCCGGCACCTCAGCAAGTTCCGTAATGAAGCGTATTTGAAGGGGCAGGGGTTGTTACCCACTGCTACAGGGCTGGAGTTCCTGGGTGGGAGATTTGCTGAGGGGGGTGATGTTTGAAGCGGGCACACCATTGTGACCATGCTGTGTGACAGTGGCTTCCGGCACCTCAGCAAGTTCCATAACGACAAGGGCTGCTCCCTACTGCCAAAGGGCTGGAGTTTCTGGGTGGGAGATTTGCTGAGGGGGGTGATGTTTGAAGCGGGCACACCATTGTGACCATGCTGTGTGACAGTGGCTTCCGGCACCTCAGCAAGTTCCATAACGACAAGGGCTGCTCCCTTCTGCCAAAGGGCTGGAGTTTCTGGGTGGGAGATTTGCAGAGCAGGGGTGATGGTGGTACTGAACAGGTGACTGATAGCTTTTGTATCCATACTGTGTGACAGTGGTTTTAGGCATCTCAGCAAGTGCCACAACGAGGGCTATTTCATGGGCAAGGGGCTCTTGCTCGCTGCAAAAGGAATAATTTTAGCAGGCACCTACCGTATTCTCTACGGTACTCTGGTAGTGTTGTTGCATTGGCATTGGCATATACCCTATAGATGCCCACATCCACATGCACAGTTACAAACACACACACAAGACATGCCCATATCAACATGCATCTACACCCTGCAGTTATCACTCCATTACGTGAATCGCAACGCTAGCATTGCGCTTGCACCCAAGTGCTTCTTATTCCACCTTTTTAACAACCTTCCCACAGAGCGCGTACACGTTCCCCAAGCGTCCTATAACTACATTCGCTGCATTTCCCATCGGATCCGTGACCGCGCGAACGCCAGCCTCTGAGATTCGGATGTCTTCGTGATGAAGTCGAAAGCTGTAACGCTTGCGGCGAGAATCGGATTTTGTAATGTTTAGAAAATCTCCCGGGTCTGAGGAAGATCCTGCGGAGCAAGAATCTTTGAAATCAAAGCTGGGGCACGCCCTTTCCGCCTTGAGGTTCAACACAAGTATCTTAGTGACCACGATGTACGACACTGCAGAGAACCTGCAAGGTCATAATCAGAGAGAATCGTTACATTACAGTGTAGTGCATAGGCGCTCCCTCAGAAAACACTGCCTTACTGCCTTTAATTCGGCGCAAACGCTTGAAGACTAAGAAGAGCAGACCATGCAGACGTCTCAGTTAAAGCTGCGGTATACATTTGAAAGGAAGAGTTCAAAAACTTTTGAAATTTGAAAAGTTGCCCCAAACCTGTGAGGCTCACTCCCTAAACCCTGAACCCTGCTGACAAATGTATACTTCAGCTTTAAGGGGATGGGCCCCAACTCGCAAGACTCTTAATCTAAAGCGATTGTGATTCCACAGAACTCGTGTTAGCCGCGGCGCCAGCTAGTTCCTCCTCCATGGGTTTTCTTGAAATTGTAGCATAGCATAGCATGGATGATGGATGGGATGGTTCCATGCTGCCGAGCAACTTCAAGTTGAAGTTGTAAAGCCAAAATCATCATCAGGGCAATCAACTGAGCTGAAAAACGTCTTGTTGCTAGCCACACCACACCAAGTTTGGTGCGAGTGGAACAATTGAACGAGGGGACAGCGGCGTACCTCACTGCCTTCATCATCATTTTCCCTGAAGCTCCTGCGTCACCGACCACTTTCCCGTTGAGCACGGTAGGACGCAGCTTGGCGACGTATTTAACTAGCAACAGGAACGGGAGGGACCGCGAAGGCGAAAAAGGTTGGTAGCTGCTGATTATGAGCTGACGTCATCATCATAAAAAAACGGGAATGCGAAGGATCGAGGAAGTGATCGGGAAGGACACTTACCGATTGTCTTTCCTTTATAAACCAGGGGCCTGCCATGAGCGGCAGAAGCGGTACTAGAAGCTGTAGCGGTAGAAGCTGTAGAAGAACCGCCTTGGTGAGAAACTAGCGGCGCGAGCAGTGATGTGGCGGACGCGCCGTAGGCAGTGCAGACCGCCGCACCTGCAAAGGAGACAGGCAGACAGGCAGGCAGCACGATTTGAGGCGTGATGTGCGGCACGAAATCCGGCGACCGTGATAAAGACACTTCTTTAATACGTGTCCAGGGCGGATCATCAGCCCCTAATCCGACCGATCATCGGTCTCAGTGACATATGATATCGGAAACAGCAGCCCCAGTGACAGTCTCCATCATGCCAAATTGAAGCCTGCAGCAGCGCGGCACTCAAAACTGAGTCGACTCAAAGTCGCAGCAGCAGGGCTTACAGAGCAGCAGCCTGAGGCAGCAGAGGAGAGATAACGCGCGGCGCTCCATGATGCTGATGATCTCAAATGCTCGTCTGCTAGAGTTCCGGCAGAACCGCTATGAGGAGGTTCGTGGTAGCATTTTGAAGTGTCTATTGGGCTGTCGAGTGTCTACGTCGGACTGCGTGTACGAATGTATGCGCTGCACAAGGTGACACGTAGGCCGATCGTAGGCTGCTTTACTAACCATTCCGCGTGTGACACCTAACAACTTCGGTACCCAGTGAAGATAAGCCATATCTAATCAACAGCGAGTGCAAGGACATATCGCTCCACCACTTCCATGGCAGCGAAGCTGAGGCAGCTTGCCCGCACGCCTCCTTCGGCGGTAAGCTTCACGTGACACAGGTCACGCGTGAACAGTGATTTTCGGCTTGTCGCTAGCGTCCTGGATAAGCCTACAATCGGCCCACTCAGCGAGTGACACCACGTAATAACTTCGGTACCCAGTGAAATAAGCAGGATCATGCAGTCTATTCAACAGCGCGAGTGCAAGACATGTCGGTGCGCCACTTCCATGGCAGCGAAGCTGAGGCTAGCTTGCCCGCACGGCCCCTAGCAAGGCGCCGACATGCCGTCGCGTGAACCGCAAGACCATGATGGGCCATGGCTGATTCAACAGAAAGCTGCATGTGACGCTCGTCAAGCGTGAATAGTAAAAAAGACTACTAGAAGATATCGTGGCGTGGCTGTGAAGATATCGTCGGAGAAAATACAGTAAGGAGGACCAGGTTTCCAACTACCGCATCTGTGGAGAAATCGTCCCAACTTTGTCCACACTTGCGGAGTTCTGTAGGCATGCAATTGAAAGTTTCGAGATAACCTATGTGTCGCTTATATCCTGATGGCAACATTATAAGCCATTCAGGGTTAAATAAGTATTGTCCTAATATTATCATATTTTGAGCAGACATACTTTACCTCATTGTTCAAATGAAGGCACATACTGAGCAGTCCATTTCGACCGCAAAAAATAGCGAGGTTCCCATTTAATCTACATCTTCAGGCCGTTATTGCGACGTTTAGTGAGAAGCATTTAAAAGGCGCAGACAATTGTGTGATATCGTATTGCCTAGTCTGCGATACACACCAGATGAGTGAACTTGGTCAAAACAGTTGGAATACCCGAAAGGTTTTTTAGCATCCCCAAAGTATGCCAGAGGGTGCCAACCAGGGCTTACTTTATCAGACTAAAATAGTCTGATTCTCTGAATTCTCGGACTATTTTCCTACAGTTCCTGATGTTTCAGAGTTGTAAGGTTTCCAGAAATGACTGCCTCAGACTAACGTTTCCTGGGATACTGTGAATTTCAGAGACATGACTTTGCGGAATATAGTGGTTCAGACTACGGAGAGTACGGATCCTGAAATGCGGATCTGTACTTTCTACGTACCGGTAGGTTTTTCCACGTCATATGTTGCCTTCGTAGGAAAAAAAATTGCCGTGATGTCACGGATAAAATCCCTACTTGGCATCTTTGCCACCCTTTTTCATGTGAAATCTGCCAACTCGCCCCGCTGTTTCATTCACGTGGGACCACCGCTGCAGCGACGCGGTGTCAGCGGGGGAAAGACAGTGATCAAGCGGCCAAGTTGGTCAGCGCTGCGTCCCAAACGGTCTATTCGTGGCACTGCAGTGCAGCACTGGTGGGTGACCGCCATGGCGCTGCGACACCACCATGGTTTACCGCAACACATCTGGAGGGTGGTGGGGTTTCTTCTCCAACGCATCGTTCACATGCCTTCACTGGAGAGCTCGGCTGCCTCACCCCAGTCTGTTTTCGAGTTCCTGCTCCACTGATTTCACTCGTTAGTGAGGCATGACAGAGCACGGAGTAGGTGAGGCATTGTCCGCTGATGCGGGTGAGCCTAGCATGAATGATGCTGGCCCTGCTGTCGTTAGGTCGGGGCTCGACTGCCTACGCCCCGCAGTAGTGGTCCCAGATACAGCACGCCCGATCGTACAGGCAGAAGCTCGTCCGACACCGTCGATTTCGCCGATTGTTGCACCGCCAGTAATTAACTTTCAGTTACCTCCCGCTGTCGCATCATCTAGCAAGGGTCCGATTCTCTCTCAGTCGCTTAAAACGGCCACAACGGTTCGTTACAGCGTGCCGGTTACCACGGCCAAATCATGCTCTAAAAAACAGCGACCGCAAAAATGGCTGCAAAGCACAATGATTAGCGGCGGTAGGTTCAAAAATCCATCACCACCTCCGTCACCGCCTCCCTCCACACCTGTCAAAGAGCCGGTACCGATCAAGTTGTCCGCGAAGCAGAAGGTCGAACAGAAGTGGTTGCTGGCGGAGGCTAACTACAACGCGAAATGGCTGCCTCACTTCAACTGGCTCCTCCTCGTCCGTGCCAAGGATGGTCACCCTACTCTCAAGTGCACTATCTGCAGGGCGTTTGGCAAAGAGACAACCAAGTATTCGGGTCCAGGCGACGGCGCTCGCGACTTGCAAACGCAAACCATGCGGACTCACGAGCACTCGACCGTTCACACTGAAGCAGTGGAGCGGCAGATGGAGGTCAGCGAAGCGATAGAGGGCAAGCAAAAGCGCTTGGATGGCTTCACGAGAAAGGACGTGAAAGGCCGCAGAGTGATTCGGCTTCTGCGCACAACGGAATTCCTCTGTAAGGTTGACGCTCCTATTTCGATGTTTGCGCGGCTGAGCAGGATACGCCAGATCTGCCTCAACAATCGTACGGCATTTACCTTACACGGTGAGTGCAATTTCTTCAATGGGCTTTGCTGCGCGCTTATTTAACCGTCGAGTTACGACCTACAATACTGACTTTGCGCATTTCAATCGTCATGTTTCCACAGGTACGGGTTCCAAGAGCTGGTACATTGCCTTGCTACACTTCTGCAATCGGAGCAGATGCGACACATCCAGGCTTCCCCTTTCTTGGGAATCACCACGGACGAGAGCACCGATCGCACGCGCGGGAAACACTTAATAGTTTATCTAACCTTCCTTCGTAATAACCGCCCTGTGACTGAGTTTTTTGCGCACCTAACCGTGGAGAAATGTGACGCCGCCTCGCTTCTTGCTGTTATCCAGACTCACATGCAGACTGTCGGGGTTGACTTGCAGCGCATCTGTGCGATTAGCACCGACAGCGCCAACGTGATGATAGGCTGCGATAACGGCCTCGTCACACGCCTTCGCGAGCACATCCCGCACCTCGTGTCTTTCCACTGTATCGCGCACAGGTTAGTTATTGCCGCCCTCAAATTGTATGTACGAACTACTTCCTGTAACTAATATTGTTCGCCCTTGTTCTTCGTGTATGTGTGCAGGGAAGCGCTGGCGGTTAAAGATGCTGCCACGGCTTGTCTCGACATGGACATGGTTGACAAGGTCATCAGGACCTTGGCTTCCTTGTTGTCATCATCGAGCAACTCCAGTCAGCGCTTTCACAACCTTCAGAAGACCATACACAAGACTAATCTAGAGGTCTAGGGCATCCACACCGTCAGATGGTTGTCGCGAGGACAGGCTGTGCGACGATTGTGCAGGGTGCTCGGCGCCTCCATAGTTCTACTGGCGGAGAGCAATCACAAGTTGTACGAGACTGTCATTTCGTACAAGTTCCAGTTTTGCCTTTTTTTCCTGGCTGACGTTCTCGCCATCATGAACGAGCTCAACCTGAAGTTTCAGAAAAGAGAGGTGAGCTGTCACACGTTTCGATGTCTGCTCTTTACCACCACGATTAAACTTAACCACTAACTAGCTTCCCTAAACCCCCCCACGTCTTGCTGCAGGTTGACGTGACTGAAATTTCAAAGGAGATAGACGAGGCTACGGGGGACATGCGGCGACGCTACCTTGAGTGCGAGGACGAGATGGGAGCCGGTGAAAGCCCCGTGCTTTCGGAGTTTCTAGCGCTGTACGGGAAGGAGGGGGGGAAGAAGAAGGTAACGGTGCGCGGTGTGGACAGTGAAGGACAGCCCGTGACCCACGTCTACAAGCTACACGAGCGGAAACTGAAGGGGCATGTGTACGGCAGCTCGTACACAGAGTGCGTGAAGCTGTGCACCAAGTTTGCACAGGAATGTGTAAACAGGCTCAACTTCCGCCTCTCCGACCTCAAGAAGCTCGCCCCGACGAAGCTGTTCCGAGCTTCCAAGTGGCCCAAGCAACGTCAACAACGCGACCGGAAGGTGCGGGAGTACCTTCACGGATGCAGTGCGCTCTTTGGGGACAAGCTCCCCGGCTTCAACATGACTGCCGCCGAGAGGGAGTTGCTCTCTTGGGCGCCAATCATGGAGACACACCATGAGGACGAGGGGTTCTTCCAGGGACTCCGCAACTTCATGAACACGTCTGAGGCAAACAGGTGTGTTAAACATGCTTGTCGACTATCTCTCCCTCCCCCATACATGCCTTTTTCCTCGCCTAATGCCAACCCTGCTATATGTTCTCCGGTGTAACTCGCAGGCGCTGGCCCAACATCATGCGGATGTGGCAAGCTACATCGGTGATGCCACTGTCGACGGTCGAGTGCGAACGAGGTTTCTCGCGGCAAAACGTGATCAAGTCCTAGGTGAGGGGAGCCTTGGGCAACGCGCGACTGGCCGAGCTGATGGCCATTTCGCTGCTGGACTACAACATCAACTGGGATGCAGCTCTGGCCAAGTGGCGAGAGAAGCCCAGGCGGCCAGCCAAGACACTGGTCTTTGCAGCAGT